GAAAGAGCATGCAAGAGTCAGACGACTCATGGGCATGAAATTGTCCACGTACGCTCCGGATTTCAGCTCGAAACAGAGCAGGTGGCACCCGAACCTCATCTTTCATTAGCCCCCAGCGGCAGCGAGCTGGCGAGCGCTAATTGCAGCCGTCGCCTTAGGGGGTGGGTGAGCGCAGGGACAGGACAAGGTGCGTGATCTCCCTCCCTCTCCCCGGCAGGGCCCGGCTTAGCGCTGCAGAGCAGAAGGGAATTAGGCAGCTGATTCATTCCCCGTGCCGCGTGCTGGTCCTGTTCGCTTTCACCTTGCACGAGAGAGCAAAGACTGCAGGTCCGCAGGCCTGATCGTTACCAAATGTACTGAGTGCCCGTTGGAGAGGGCACATTGGCACTCCGGAGCATGCAGGGCTGGATGCTGGTCCTGCCCCTGGTTCTGCTCCGTTCTCCGCGTCCCCTGGGCTGGGATGGCCTCGCTCACAGGCAGGGCAGCATCACGGCAGACCCTCGAGCTGACCATGCCAGTAGGCGCCAAGTCTGCGGGCTGGGACTGCACCACATGGAGCAGATTGCGCTGCCCGGGGCCGGGCCCAGCTCAGCACCCTCCTTTCTGCTGCTCCGGACCGCTGTTAGCACGGTGGTGCGTGGCTCGTGCTGCAGACGCTGCGCTCAGGCTCGTGTAAAGAATTTTCTGTTGTTTATTAGTGCACTAATGCTTGAGGCTTGCAGGTTTGTGCAGGGCTCTGCTTTCTCTTAGGATTTCTCCAGGCAATGAGGTGCGTTCTCAAATGACACATAGAGTGTGATGTGCCCTGCGTGCAGCCCCTGCGAGGAGCTGCCCAGGGCTGGCGCTGCCTGCTGCAGGCGAGCGCTCCTCGGAGCACGGACAGCACGCAGGACGCTGTGCCGAACCGTGCTGGGGCCGCGTGCAGGGCCCCGCGCGGGACAGCGCGGATGCAGAGCGCGCAGGGCACACGGACGGACAGCGTGCAGGGCGGCGTGCAGCGCTGCATGGATGGGTAGCATGGAG